GACAGAAGGCTGGAATATGGTCCAGGTTTGTTCCCTTCTGTTCCAGCAAGGAGAGGCAGCAAAGTCTAGCACGTCAACTGGATCCCTGTCTCCACCTGGAGGGTTTACAACTCAACAGGAACCATTCAGGTGAGCTCAGAGGGTGAAGACCAACAAGAGCATCAGAAAAACCGTCCAAGGCTGCCAAGGACACCGTGAGCTTTGGAGTGACAGCATCCTGCAGAGCCACTCTCAGCTGGAACCCTGGGCTGGACAGATCCCAGCCCTTCCCAGCCCCTCTCTGTGCTCAGAGTGGCTTGGCAAAGGAGACCTCCCTGCCACTCATGGCCAGGAGCTCAGCCAAGCTGACACCTCCCTCTGCAGGGCTTTGGCAAGAGGAGATCACTCAGGAAAAGGCTGCAGAGAGGCAACTTCAAGATCAATGGCATCACTAAAAAGCTTAAAGAAAAACAAGAGTGAATTGATATCCCAATGAACTGATATCCCAATAACTGATATCCCAGTATTGAGGACACCTGGATCCAATATTCCTTGTGAGGCAGTGGATAAACCAGCACAACAAAATGATGGGAGAGTGGAATGAGGCCCCTGCTTGGCCTGTTAAACCATAAGGTACCAATGAAAACTACCTTGGAGTGGAGCCCTTGGAGTGAACCCTCATGGATTCCTCTCTAAGGGCAATGGAGATCCTGACAAGTCCAGAAGAGGAGAGGTTCAGGTCACCACTGGAAATCAGGAGGTGCTGAGACAGGGGCTGATGGCCAGAGTCAAATTCCCTCAAATGGAATGGGAACCACCAGGAAAATGTGACTCAGAGAAGAACTGCTGGAGTGCTGAATTCAAAACACCAGCCAATTGGTGGAGAAGCTCTGTCCAGCCTCTGCCACCCTTCTTTCTCTGAGTCTTCCAAAAAAACCCTTCCAAAAAAACCCTGGAAGTCACTCCCCAGCAAATCCCAGAGATTTTTGGAGTTTCTTGGCTCAGCCAGGGACTGAGACATCATTTTGCCCCTCTACCTTGATGCCTTAAGTTTTAGCTTTCATATTTTCCAGATTCTAGTGTGTAACTCTTAGCTTCATATGACTTCAACTCTTAACTTCAAGTTCTCCTCACAGCTCAGTCAGACAGAACAATCCTTTTCCAGCCCCAGAACCAAGAACACCATTGTAGCTTCAGACCCAAAAAGTGCAAACAACAGCAAATTGAAGACAGCAATCTGGGAGGATGGGACTGCATAACCTGGAGCTGTAATTGGACAATTGACCCCAATATGGAAATGGACCAAAACTTGTAAAAGTGTGAAAACTCATGACTGAGAGTCTATCTTTGGTGTAGCCACAGCCAGGCTCTTGCACTGCCCAAGGTGTATCCTTTGAAGACCTTTTAATAAATCCCTACTTTATTCCTTTAACAGGAAATCCCTATGCAGGAAAGTAGATAAATAATCTGGATTAAGTTGAGTGATTATTTAGACTGTTGAAAATAAACCATGTATGGTGTGCTGCTAAGTGCAAAACATAAGAAAAAGGAAGTGTACTCACATTTTTCCTCACAATGGTAATAGATGATAGCAGTGAGGTAAGCAAGCACATTTTGGTCCTAAGAAAACTGTTACACTGAACACCCTGAACCTGTTAGTTTTGAAATATTTCCATTATAGAGTTTGCATTAGAATCAAGGGTTAAGATTATCATCTTAAATGGCTGGATCATCATCCAACCATCACTGTTTTCTTAGGTTTTAATAATGCCACTGTTCACTTCATTTTGCTGGATATGGCTTTGCTACCAAGTAAGTTGTGTTTTTTCATGAAAGATGATTTCAGGTATATGTATTACCTTCATGTAACCACTTAAATCCCTACTTAATGAAGAAAACCACTGTTTTCCTGAATAGCCTCTGCTCTAGGCAGCCTCTGCAGGCCTCAGCTGTGTTTCTGTGAGGGCAGGAGGTGAGACAGGCAGGGCTGGGCTGGCGGCAGAGCCCAGAGGTACTCACGTGTTGTGGAGGACACACCATCCGCAGTGCGGGTCTCCCGAGCCCAGGCACTCGCTGCAGGTCTCGTGCTGGCTGCACGACTCCACAGGCACCCTGGTGAGCTGCAGGAGGAAAAGGAAAACCTGTCAGGCTGCTTACACAGTTCAGATTGGCTGGATGGAGGTGCCACCCTCCCTGTCCCCTTTCCCTGGTGCCGGTCTATAGCGGATATTTTTCACCCCCGATGAAGGAGGAATGATGAGGAGAACTCCATCTTATCAGAAGGCTAATTAATTACTTTATTATACTATATTATTCTATATTATATTACATTACATCTAAGCTGAATCTGTACAAGTACTCAACTCTGCACACACTGCACAGAATCTCGTGACTGTCACCAACAGTCCTGACACACACACACCTGGCCCTGACAGGCCAAGGAACCAAAGCACCATCACTGTGGGTAACCCATCTCCATATTGCATTCTACTTTTGCACAAACACAGGCACAGCAAATGAGATAAGAATATTCTTGGGAAGAATTGTGCCTTGCTTTTCTCTGTGAAGAGAAATGTGGCTACACCTGTCCTCTCACAGGAACACCTATGCAGCGCTGGGCAGGCAGAAGGATAGGCATGGGCATGGGCATGGGCATGGGGATGAGGATGAGGATGGTTTGCTCCAGAGCTCAGCCTGGAGCAATCCCTGTCCACATCCTGCTCCACATTCCCTGTAGCCCTTCATGCCTTGCAGGATTTCCCAGCAATCAGCAAATCAGGCAGGCTGTGGGGATGTGATACCTTTAAATTAAGTTAATTCATTTTGATATCTTCTGCAGCAAGTTAAACTCCCTGGATCTCATTGATCTCTCTGGTTTTGGACTGTGCTTCTTTCTGGCTTCCTGTGAGAACTGAGGTCTTGTGATGTCTTTGTCTCCCTCCCATGACCTCCTGCCACCCCCAGTCCCCACTGCCACCACCACTGCTGGTCCCAGGGAAGGATTAGCTCCACTCCCTTTTGTCCATGCATCTTTCCAATCATCTCTTGTCCCATCCCTGGAGAGGTTGCTCCCAGCAGGGAAGGGACAAAGGCTCTCAGGCTGGATATTTTCTTCCTGTAGCCCTGCTTTTGCAGCTCGGAAGGCATTAGAGCAGGACCTGAAAAACCCAGGTACTGCCAAAATACCACATTTTATCATCTATTTTTTCTTTTATTTTTCCTTTTTAATTAAAGTGTTTCAGTGAGAGGTTTCAAAGGTTGAAGGGACTGCCCAGCCTGACCTCCTGTCTCACAAATTTTGATTCCCTTTACATTTTGTAAGCCCCTCAGAGCTTTTGAAGCCAAACACACAATTTGGGCCCAATGACCTGCTAGTCCCTTTTCCATTGAATAAGCTTCAGAGAGCCTCTGTAATATCCAGTCAATTGCTGGTGTCTTCACCCCAGTTCCTGTCAGCAGGGAGAGTTTATTCCCTCAGATGATGGAGTGAGGCATTATCCTGATGAAACGCCACTGAGAGCTGCCAGCTCTAAACTGCAGAACAGTTACTCTTGACAAATGACGGGGGAATGCACCTGGATCCCAGGGACAATTTTTTTACTTGGCACTGCATTCAGGAGAGTTTGAGCTGTGGAGTGACAGACTAAGATCCATCTCGACTGTGTCTGTAAATGAACCAAGAACTGGCTTTTTAATTTTTATATTTATCTATTTGTATATAAATATATATATATAACAGGCAAAATTCCAGCTCCGTACAAAGACCTTTTTCTGGTTGTATCAGAAATTGTTTTTCTCACCCCAAATCCCAGTTGATAGTCTATAAGCAAAAGCTGAAAATGTGCAGCTTTGCCTCTGGCAAGTGGCAGAAGCTTTAGAAAACTCCAGGTAGAAACACGATGGGGTTTATTTATTTACCATTGCACCAGTGCCTGTGCCAAGTCACCCAGAGGAGCCAACTGCGGCTACTGAAAGCCTTTAATGAAAAAGTGAGAACGGGGGGAAAAAACTCAAACAAAAACCAACACAAACTCACTTTTCTCAAGTGAATCTACAGCCACGAGCACAAAAACATAATCAGAGCAAACCACACAGCAGTAAAAGTTATAAGAACAAGACAGGGAGGGAGTAATTCAGATTTCTCTAATTATGGTGGCTGTGGCAGTGGTGAATTAATGACTGGATTTGATGATTTTAAAGGTCTTTTCCAAGATGCTATGATTCTTCTAAGAAGTTTAAAAATTAAGATTGTTTGGCCATGAATGAGGTTGTTTCACCTTCCTTAAGCGTCTGATCAAGAAAGTATCACCTATTAATGAAGAATAAATTTTATGTCTCAGGTTTTCACCCAATTAAACTTGTTGAACCCAATTGTCTGTGTTGAATCCAAATTCCAAAAAGACAAAAGTTTTTACAAGAAGATACCAAAAGGTATCATATAATATACTCTATATTCTATATTCTATATTCTATATTATATCACATTATAATTTGTAATTTACAATTTATTATTTATAAATTTATAATCTATAAGGCTCACATTATAATTCATTATGTCCACCATTCCCACGTTGTATTTCTACCTAAGAAAAATACATTGTGAGTTATCTCAATCACATCAAGCTTGGCCATGTCTGCACTGTGGCCACCAGAGGACTTGAAGAAGAAGCAGATAATTTAGTTTTGAAAGACTCTAAATCTGCCATTCCTCAATCCAGATGCAATTCCCACCTGGTAATTAGAATTTTGTGAGCACAGTTGGGTTTGTCTCTGCAGTTCCCACCCAAACCACCCTCAGTTTGACATATGGTGCTGCTTGATTTATCCTCATTAGCTCTAGATAGTTCCATCCAACCTCATTTCTGAGCCAGTTTTACACCTGTCTGGTAGAAGTGAGCCTTGGTTGAGAAGTTTAGATCAGAAAATGAACTTTTCCAACACCTGGTGATCCTGGCTTGAATGTTCAGAGTCAAAATCCACCTGTGGCTCAGATATAGGTAGAAGAAAGAAGTCCTAGAGGACTGAAATTTGCCATTTCTTGGCAAATGGCTGTAAAAAAAAGTAGATAAAAGTTGGTCTCTGTATGTTTTATTCTTATTAGTTAATTAACCATCAAAGGACAGCCAAGCTCATTGGCAGGAGAAACCTACTGGGAACCCAGACTTCATCTTTGCAGAAATGTTTTCTTTTCAGTGTGTTTGGGGATATTTTGTGGGATTTGTGTTGTTTTTAGGAGCACACCTGGCTTGTGCTGCTGCCCCAGAGCCCATGGGGATATGTCAGGAGCTGCCCACATCCCAAATCCTGTCATTCCCACCAGGGTGTGTCCCTTCTCTGTGTGCATTATTCCTGCCCTAAAAGTCTTTTTAGGAGCTCACCTCTAGCAGCTTTATTGTGAGATTAATTAAAACTGTACCACGCTGATAAATATCTTGGGCTGGAAGTGTCAGACCTTCCAATTAATGCAGAAAGAAAACACAGAAAACAAAGGAGCTGCAGCAGAAAGAAAAGCCACCTAAGGGTCCTCTGCTGAAAAGAGGATGAACATCAAGCAAATAAGGCACATCAGAGGTCTTATTTTCTTTTTTGGAGCATAAACTGTAATTAATTGAGCTCAGCTTTCCACGTTGAAGGGTTTGAGAGCTGACTGTGTCCCTCCAGGGAACAGCCACTGAAATGTCAGCACAAGGGAAGTCCATGCAGCCTCCCAGTTACAGAGCCTTGCCATTATTCACTTGATGAATAATGATGAAGGGACCAAGGCAGTGCTGGAGGTGGGAATCTCCATGGCAAACCAGGCTGTGCTCACTGCCTCCACCCCTTCTCCATCCTTGCAGAGCCTGACAAACTCTTCAAGGTTATTTCCTGACCTTGGTAAGAACCCTACCCCTGGTTCTTAGTGGGATTGAAACCTGGATTCAACATTTTGCAGCAAATATGACAAAATCCTGGAATATCCTGGGTTGGAAAGGACCCACGAGGATTCTTGAAGTTCAATCCTTGATTGAAGGACAACTCAAAGAATCCACCACATGCCTGAAAGTGAGTGAGGGTCCCTACCCCTGGTTCTTCATGGGAGTGAAACCTGGATTCAGCATTTTGCAGCAAATATCACAGAATCCTGGAATATCCTGGGTTGGAAAGGGACCCACAAGGATCATTGAAGTTCAATCCTTGATGCAAGAACAACTCCAAAAATCCACTATGTGCCTGAGATAAATCCCAGATATAACCACGGATTCAGCAGGATTAGAAAAGGAAAGTGTCTTTCTTTCATTTTGGGACATTAGGAGCCAGTTAGGAGTAATTTATATTCCTGCAGTGGTCACAGCCTCACTGATATTTTAGTCTCACTCTGCCAGAGCAAAATATGGATGTAAGAACAGACTGCTGTTGTCCTCAGGGCTTAAATCCCATATATTAGGAAAATACTTGATATCAGGAAAAGTTTCTGCCCCCAGAGAGTGGTGGGGCACTGAACAGGCTCCCCAAGCAATGGGCACATTCCCAAGGCTGCCAGAGCTCCAGGAGCATTTGGACAAGGCTCTCAGGGATGCACAGGGTGGGATCTGTGGTGTCTGTGCAGGACCAGGAGCTGCACTGGATGATCCTCACAGGTCCCTTCCAGCTCAGGATATTCCCTGATTGCATCCCCACATCTCCCCATTTCATCAAGGAGAGCTGAAGCTGGAAGTGAGGTCTCAGCAACAGAAGGAGGAGTTGTCTCAGTATCTCT